TTGCGGAATTGCGCCGGCTTACGCCTATTTCAATTTCTCGCCAGAGAAGATTGGTGTGCCCGTCCTGTTGGAAGGTCGCCGTGACCTCATCACATGGAGGGAGTCGATTGAGCCCCAGCTGGAGATTGCCGGGCTGAAGCGCTTCGTTGATGGAGACATGGAGACACATGCAAACCTTCAGGGTCATCTTGTGGTGCTGCTTGCCGATGGTGCAGATCGCTCTGAAGCCCTGTCGACTTCAACCGGGCACCGGCAGCCAGGCGTGGCGGTTCATCATGTGGTCGTACCAGACGGCCGACGACCTGTACATCGGCCATCTAGAAGAGCGCCTCACTCACCTCAGGATGGACGATTAGGAGTCGGCGACGGACTACTGCAACCGTGCTCGACAGATTCTGGCCGACATGCGGATGGCAGGTGTCTACTAATCTACGGCGTCGTATATCACGCACGTCGTGAAGGGACTCCCGAGTGGCTACAACCTAATGCGTCGGATGCTGGTGATGCCCAGGTGTGGGTGACTCGCTCAACGAGGACATGTTGACGAGCCACATCATCAAGGATGAGGCGATGCAGGAGGCCGAGCGGCCCACGGAGCTCCTTCCGCAGACAAACTATGCTGCCTTGACGAAGCAGGGACACCAGCAGGGGCAGCGTGGGAGGACGAGCGGAGGTGGTAGCGGAGGTGGGAAGTCGGCGAAGGACGACGAACGGTAAAAGTCGGCTCGGGACAACGGTCGCGGCGGAGGTGGTCGACGGCGGGGGTGTTGGATCTGTTGCGACCTCGATCACCTCTCCTTCGAGTGTCCTGACTGCAATGACAGCGACGATGACGACATCGAGGGAGGGAGTGGGAAGTTCGACGGCGGTCGTCGACATTGAGATAACAAGGCGCGCAAGGAGAAGCAGACGTCGAAGTCGACGTCATCGGCAAAGGACGCTGACTCCTCTGGCGGCAAAGGCCGAAGCGACGGGGAGACGTCGCGGAGCCGAACATTTTGCTGACGCCGGAGGCTGGCGAAGACTTTAAGGCGGTCACGGCTGTCAAACATTGTATGTTTACATTGTGTAGGCTATAGTGGGTTTAGCCTTAGGGGGTACACAAACTTAGGGTTTCCTACTTGTACCCAACTTTCTGCTAGTTCATTCATTCCTGTTTCTTTCTTTCTGACAACGGCCGCCGTGCAGGCGAAACCGATGGTGGTGCTGCTCGATAGCGGTTGCTCTCACCACATGATGGGGTGAAGGAGGCCTTCGTCGAGATGAAGCTAGGAGGCGATGCCAGGCACGTGCATGGCTTCAACGGGGCGCTGCAGACCGTCAAAGGCCGTGACACCGTCGCTCTGCAAGGGGAGGCCGGGAAGCGGGTTCTTGTCTCCGACGTCTCTACGTCTCTGGCGGACAACTACGACGACGGGACTTGTCGGGTATGCAAGCTGCTGAAGAGTTTGTACGCACTGAAGCAGTCGCCGCTGTTGTGGTACTAGGCACTCGACGCCGTGCTGAATGGCGCTGGCTGGAGCAAGAGCCAGGTCGACAAGGCTTTCTATTTCAAGGTCTGCAATGACGGAGTGGTGTGCTGAGTGCTCGTCTACATCGAAGTAGGACATGCAGCTAGGGCCGCCATCTCCTGAACGAACTAGCGCATCAAGTGCGCGACGCTCTCGTTGACCGACCCGGAGTAGGTTGCGGCCACCGAAGCCTTTGCTTCCTCCTTGCCGAGTTCCAACTGCTCGACGCTGGGATGCAGACTATTCTTCGGGTGGATAAACAGTTGGCCGTTGCAGTCGCCGAGGGATTGGGGCTGAAGGGCAACCTCAAGCACATGGAGCGACGCTATGCCTGGCGGCAACAGATGGTGAAGCGCGAGACGATCGCTTTGAAGTACATCTCGACCACCGAGCAGCCGGCTGACTTCTTGACAAAGCCGCTGCACTTTCTGGCCTCCGTCGCAATCGGCCAAGTGCATCTGGCCGACATCGGCGACGGTGACGACGACATGCAGCAGTACGCGACGTGCCAGACCTGGCAGAGGCGCGAATTTTGCCTCTGCGAGCTTTGGCTAAGTTGGCCTGCGGGCTTGTGTCCTGAGGCTGACTTGGAGCATCTGGCGCGATTGTCGGCACGTGGTCGACTAGGCATCCGTGCGACGGGCAGGACGAGGCACAACGTGCTGGACCGCCTATAAGCACCTACGAATTAGGTGCGCGCGTGCGCTATTGTCAATTGTGGTGGCAACGCTGGGTAACTGCCTTGCTGCAGCGTTGGCAAGCCACAATACTGCAGCGCTGGCAGGTCGTCGACTTGCAGAGTTGGCAGGCCACCTCCCAGCTGCGTTGGCAGACCATTGCCGTGCTCTACTGGCAGGTCGCCCTGTTGCTGCGAGGTTGACCTGCGTGGTCGCTAGGTTGCTAGGCCCCAGATGTAGTCATTGTTGCCATTGATATTGCTATCATTATGTAATCCCCTTTTGCTAGTGAAACCATTGCCAATCTACTTTGTAAACCAGCAAGCAGTGAGCACACAAGCAAAGCTACGACCACTCCCACCACCTGTGTCTTCCCATAGTCTAGCTCCCACCGGTGTAGAGTGACTCTCCGCAAAAGTACGGGTTCCTCCCGGGCAGATGCCTCTCGGATGCAGTCTCGCTGGTTGCGGATGTGATCGAGGCGGCAAAGAATGACAGCGAGGACTGTACATCTTGATGGTCGACTTTCGAAAAGCTTTCGACTCGGTCTTCATGTTGTTGACGGGAATTGGCCCAGCCCTCGCTTGGGCGAAGCAGACTTCGCAGTTGGGGGGCGTGCAGAAGTCGTCGTAGACTGCAGACAAGGCAGTTACCTAGCAAAGACAAACCAAACGGTTAAGGCAGTTCTGGAACAGTCGGTTACCTGGTAGTAGGTCTCTATAGACTTGCTGAGGGTATGGTGTATCACGAACCGAACTGCGGAGGGGGAAGGAGAGAAAGAGGGAGGAATGGAGAGTGACAAGACTATTAGAACCTTTAAAGAAGGCATTGAAAAAAAAAAAGCACACAGAGAAAAAAAACTGGTTTTCAAGTTAGCAGCAAGGCAAGCAGCAAGGCATGGCATACCATCAGGCTTGTTTATTCCCATTCCAAAAGCCACCTGCCATGACACCAGCACACACATGCACACATGCGGGTTTTCGGTCAGTCGGCAAGGCAAGAAGGAAGGCATGGCATACCATCAGGCTTGTTTATTCCCATTCCAAAAGCCACCTGCCATGAGGGTAGCGCCAGCACACATTCAAATACACGGACGTTCACAATTATTACGATCATGCACCCACCTAACATAAAGCAACCTGCCATAAAGACTGCACCAGATACACACAAGCTTATGGGCAGATGTAAACAAATAGCAATCAGCTTGTACACACGTTTGTAACTCCCCCCCTTCCCCCACCTTCCCCTCTTTTTATCCCTTACCCTCCTTCCCCTCTTTCACCTCTTTCCTCTTTCCTCTTTTTTCCCCTTTCCCACCTTCCCTCCTCCCCCAGTCATTCACAGTGTGCTGGCGGTCGACCGGGCTAGCTGTAGAGCTGCTAGGTGCCTGATGTAGTCATTCTTGTCATTGTGATTTCTATCATTCTGTAATGCGATATTTGCTAGTGGAAACTCTTGCCGGTTTCTCCCATGAATGTGCAAGTGCTAAGGAACTAAGCAAAGCTACGATCACTCCTAGAGTTCGTGCCAACACCCCGTAGTCTAGCTCATGACTATTGTAGAGTGACTCTCTGCAGTTGTAACTGGCTATTTGGAAGGCATACTGTCTACATGTAGAGAGACTCCCTTCCTTGTACGCTTTAATGTTGCTGAAAGGAGACCGTCGGCTCCTTCAGAAAGACTTGAAATATGCTCTACACGCCAGCAAGGCCTTCGTGCGGTAGAACCTACGCATAACTTATGCCTCGTCTCTTGCCAGATGTCCCAAGTCCATTGAGTTGTCATGTTATTTCCTCATTGTATATCTTTATGTAGCGTGCGAATGTCGACTTTCTAGTCCCTTTTTCCGGCTGATATTTTGCCGCCCTTAACATAACATTACACCTTGCCAACCAGTGCTGAGGGGCCGACGTGTCAATAGTTGATGTCTCTGGAAAAGCTAACCACGTGTGAATTGTCTGAAACAGTAGATCCCCGACTGATTCCACCTTCCTGCCCAAGTTCATCAGTTGGAGCACTCTGTGGACTGCCATAACCACCATTTGTACTTTCTGGCAGCTGAAAAGGCAGTGGTTCAGTGACTCTACCTCGCCGCTGTGGGGGCAGCATGCCCTTGCCCCAAGGAACTGTAGTCTCTCTTCCACTTGCAGTTTGGTACCATGTGCGCGCATGATGGCTTCTTTTGCTCTGTCCGGTATCGCTAGTGAGTTGCATGCAGTGACGACCCTCCTCCATTTAATGTTCTTTCCCCACGTTTCCTCCAATTGCAGCTGCTACTTCGGTTGCGTGAGTTGGGGTTTTGTCGCCTTCCGTAAGTCTCTTAGCTTGGCTGACTCGCCCTTCGTGCATACCGGTGACTGCAGTAGAAGCACTTTTGGTGACTGCAACGCTATCCCTTCTGTCTTCTGCATCCACCTCCACCCCCACCACCTCTACCTCCACCACCCTTCCCCCCTTCCTTACCTCCCTTGCCCCGTTTCTACGAACCAGTGGCAGAAATATCTGCAGTCTCCTTTGTTACAAGAGCAGGCCCTCAGATTCGTTTTTGGGCAGTCTGATTTGTCAGTCTTGGTACACAATTTTAGTGTGATCAATCAGACTTGGTACAAAAAAAAAGGCTGAAATTTCTGAGTTCAAGAGAAAAATAGTCTGATAAACCTGAGTTCACATCGGTAGTGAACCAGGTTGATCAGCCTAAAACGAGGTGATAACCACGCTGCAACACTGCTGTCACCTTTTTAGCGAGACTGACAGGACAGAATTGTACTTCCAGCGCGAATCGCGGCTGTCAGGTCAGATTTCGCATAGGCATATGAGAGTAGGTACCCGCAAAAACCCTCATGAATCAGAGTACACTCTGAGAAAAAGGCTGAAATTTCAGACAACTAAAATATTTTTCTGAATATTCAGAGTTCACAACAAAAAAAACTCTGAACTTTCAGAGTTCACTAAGAAAAAAGGCTGAAATATCAGAGTTTTTTAGGCAAATCAGAGAAATTTCTCTGACTTCTGGGGGCCTGTACGAGAGTGACTTAACTAGGCGCCGGGTTTAACTAAGGGCCTAGGCTAGAAGCCTAGGCCAAGCGGGAGTCGAGAGTGGCTTGCCAAGGGAGAATCGAGAAAAGGTGTTTCAATAATAGAAAACATTACAAGTTATAGTCCACACCAAAGGTGCACCACCAATAGCAAAGAACAATAACTACAGTAACTACAGCAAGCAGGATATATTAAATATAGCTGTAACGCACCCCCTTAGCCTGCTTGCAGTAGAAACTAGTCCAGTCAACACCTCTTGAAGGGGTAAACCTGGCGCAGTGGAAGACGGCAGAGAGATAAATCAGGAGGAGGAGGCGAGAAAGAAAGAGGAGAGGAGAGGAGATAAGAACGAAGGAGGAGGTGAGAGAGAGGCATGAGGAGAGGAGGTGAGGTGGAGCCACCCATGGCGAAACCCTCTTACTAACCCCTTTCTACAAAGGGGGAGGTGAGAGAGTGATGAGGAGAGGAGGTTGGGGGGAGCCAAGCGTGGCGAAACCCCTCTTACTAACCCCCAGATCCCCACACCCATTCAACCACCCCCCTTAACCTCACCCCCCATTTCAGCCGCCCCCTGGAACCGCACCCCCTCCCCCCCTTCCTTCCTCCACACCCCTGCTCCACCCACAGTAGTCCTTGCACTGTCCTGCACACGGCAGCCAGTCCCCCCACCCCTCCAGTCCCCGCCACATCCCCCCCACAGCAGCAGCCACGGGAGGGGGGAGGCAGGGCAGAGGGTGGTGCTGCATTGGCTCACGGCGGCCACCATATCCACACCACCTCCCCCCCAACAGTCGCAGTCGCAGAGGGGAAGGCGACGGGGGAGGTTGGGGCGGCGGATAGCAGGTGGGGCGGCGGGGAAGAGGAGGTGCGGCGGAGTGTTGCTGGTGCTGTTACTGGCGGTCGTGGGTGTCGCTGGCGTTGTCGCTGCTGGCGTTCCCGCCACGCCCTTTTCCCGTCCCTCTCCTCCCCCACAGCGACTGTGGCTACACACGGGAACAGCCGCGAAAGCGGGTGACGATAAGGGGCCACGACGGGGAAAGGGGAGGCGACGGGAGGCGACGGGGACGGTGGCAAGGACTGCAGGTGCTGCTGGCGCAGCTGTCGCGGTTGGCGCTGGTTTGCGTCACTGTCGCGGCTGGCGCTGGTCGGCGCCGATGTCGCTGCTGGTGCTGGTCGTTGGCGGTTGGCGGCTGGTTCGACGGCGGATTCGTTGGCTCGCAGGCTGGCGGGTCCTTCGGCGGGTGATGCACAGGGGCGTGACTGGCGACGGGGTAGGTACGGGTGGGGACGGGGCACGTCGGGACCGCGAGCGTTGATGCTTGCCATTGCGGCCGTCGCAGCCGTCTCGACCGTTGCGACTCTTGCGGCGGTCACACTGACGGGCGCGCGACGGGCAGCGCGAGTAACGGCGGTCGTTGAGGGTGGGCCCATTGAGAAGAAAAATAAGTCGAGAACGACCTAGCTCAATACCATGTTACGAGAGTGACTTAACTAGGCGCCGGGTTTAACTAAGGGCCTAGGCTAGAAGCCTAGGCCAAGCGGGAGTCGAGAGTGGCTTGCCAAGGGAGAATCGAGAAAAGGTGTTTCAATAATAGAAAACATTACAAGTTATAGTCCACACCAAAGGTGCACCACCAATAGCAAAGAACAATCACTACAGTAACTACAGCAAGCAGGATATATTAAATATAACTTTAACATCCTTGAAAGCGGACGACTTAGCAGCAGCAAGGGAAGCAATGAAGGTGGGGAGATGGGGCAGAGCGCACCCCTCAAAGAGTCGAGGGACTCGTCAGAAGTAGCAGAGGCGATCGCGCGGAGGTTACTCTCGATTTCATTGAGGGTGGTCTCAATGAGTTCAATACCAAGCTCGGTGGGGTGCTGCGTGTCACGTGCAGATGAGAGGCGAGAACTTTCCCCGGCGGAACAGCGCTACACAACTTCCGAACATGAATTGCTGGCAATTGTGCATGTGCTACGAACATGGAGATGTTATTTGGAAGGTGTCGTCTTTGGGGTCACGACCGACCATTGTCCGAACACCTATTTTGCCACGCAAACCACACTCACCCGCCGTCAAGCTCGATGGGCTGAACTCCTTAGTGGGTTCACCTACGAGATTCGATATCGAGCGGGCTCGACGAACATGGCTGATTCGCTGAGTAGACAGCCGATTGGCACAGCAACGGGGGTTGATGATTGTGAACACAAAGCAGTGTTCGCTGCTTGTTTCAGCGTCATCGCGACTGCTCGAGTGAGTGAGATTGCCTTTGGTGGTTTTCTGAAACGCATCCACGCAGGGTATATTAATGATCCCTGGCTTCACAACCCACAGAATACAAAGGATCTCTTGTGGGAGCATGCGCTCTGGTGGCACAAGAAAGAAATTGTTGTCCCACATGTGGGAAACCCGCGGAATGACATTCTAGCAGAGGTGCATGCCACTAAGTATGGAGGACACCTGGGTGTCAAGAAAACCTGGTGGGCCCTCAGTGATGTATAATAGTGGCCAGGATTGGGCATTGAGGTCCATCAGTTTGTAACTCGTTGTGACATGTATGCGCGGAAAAAGCCAAGCAAGCAGAAGCTTGGTGGTTTGCTTCAACTACTCGAGATTCCCGATGAGCCTTGGGAGAGTGTATTGATGGATTTTATCACCGTTCACCCCAAGACATGAGATAGTTATACGGCAATACTAGTGTTTGTTGATCGCTTGACCAAAATGGTGCACTTTGTGCCCACGACATATGTGGCAAGAATAATGAGTAAGGGCCCCTTGAAATCTGCATTCGGGGTGGCCTGCTGTTACTAGATCATCATTTAGGAGAGGAAGAGATTCTGGCACAGTTTGCGCAGCAGCACCACCACCACTGGTGCACCACCACTGTGTGCTATCCTCTGATGCACTGTAATTGGACTCGTTCATTCCTCCCCATTCGCTTGCACATCATCACGAGTTCCTACTGCCTTTGCACTACTGCTGTTCAGGGATTAGTGCCTCGCTCGTGCCACTGGCACAGCCGCCCGTAGGCATGTGCTACCTTTGCATTGCACTAGTTGCTGCTGCCTTTGCCAGATTTTCGTCGCTTTTACTCTCCCTGCTGACACCGCGCACCCCCCCCCCCCCCCCCCCCCCCACACCCAGGTTTACGCAAGAACGACTGCCTATCAGAGAACATACTCACGCCCACAACCAAAGCAGCTGACCACGACGAGCCGGTCACCCCAGAGGAGATCGCCTCCCGTGGGCTCATGACCATCTCCGTCTCTTTCTCTGCTGCTTTTCCCCCTGAATATGCCAGGACTACACAAGAACGACCGTCTGGCAGCGAACATTCGTCGCTTTTACTCTCCCTGCTGACGCCGCGCACCCCCCCCCCCCCCCCCCCCCCCCACACACCCTGGTTTACGCAAGAACGACTGCCTATCAGAGAACATACTCACGCCCACAACCAAAGCAGCTGACCACGACGAGCCGGTCACCCTAGAGGAGATTGCCTCCCGTGGGCTCATGACCATCTCCGTCTCTTTCTCTGCTACTTTTCCCCCTGAATATGCCACGACTACACAAGAACGACCGCCTGGCAGCGAACATAGCCGAGGTACTCAAGGCAGCGGTCGACCTTGCACCAATGCTGGTCGCTCCTCACCGTGAGGCCGCTGCAGGCGAAGGCGATGTCCGGCCTCGTCGTCGTCGCCGCGAACTGCAGCGAGCCGACCTTCTGCCGGTACTCCTCCTGGCGCTCTTGTGCCTCCTCATCGCCGAACGTCAGCTCGGCGTAGGTGTCTTCGGGGTGCGCTCGGTCTGCTCCTCGTCGATGAAACGCCTCCGCGGCTTGTCGGCGTAGCCCTCCTGGTGCAGCCACAGCTTCCTCGCTGGCCTGTCGCGCACAATCTCCAGCCCGAGGTACTTCTCCACCGACGAGATCTCACGCAGCTCGAAGGTGGCTTTGAGCAGCTCCTTCAGCTCCTTCAGCGTCGCGGCGCTGCTGCTGGTGGCAAGCAGGTCGTCGAAGTAGACCAGCACCCAGCAGGCGACGCCATCCCCGCCGACCTTGAAGTTCAGAGCCTCGTCGACCTTGCTCTTCTTCCACCCGGCGCCGACTAGCACGTCGTTGAGCGCCTTGTACGACAGCAGCGGCTTCAGCCCGTACAGGCTCTTCAGCAGCTTGCACACCCGGCCGGTCCCGTCGTTGTAGTAGTCCGGCTGGTACATGTCCAACACCCGTCGAGCTTGCTCTGCAGGAAGGCGTTCTTCATGTCGAGCTGCATCAGGTTGAGGTCGAGGACGACGATGATGCTGAGGAAGATCCTCAGCGTGACGTAGTTGCTCACCGGCGCATACGTCTTGTCGTAGTCGGTGCCATATACCTGCGTGAAGCCCTTCAAGACCAGCCTAGCCTTCTCCCGAGTGACCGTGTCGTCGACGTGGTACTTGGTCATCAGCACCCATCGGTTCTTCATGATGTTCACCCCGCGTGGGCGTTCGACCAGCTCCCAGGTGTCCATGCCGATGAGGCTGCGAGTCTCCTCGTCCATGGCGGCCTTCACCGCCTTGCTCTTCCAGCTTGCCAACACCTCCTTCACCGGTCATCATCGCGATATCCCAGCGGTGTTCAGGGTCGGCATGCATGTCGGGGTCGAGCTCCGGTAGGTCGACGTCATCCTCGGCGCCATCGTACATCATGTCATCGTCGTCGTTGTCGTACATCATGGTGGGAGGCAGACGTGGTAGGTCAGCCGCTCAGGCGGCCCCAAAAGTCGGCCTTAGCGCCGTGGTCCAGGCGGAACCTCCACTATGTCGTTGTCGGTACACTTCCCGGCGTCCGGCTGCTCCCCTTCATCGTCGCCGGATTCACTGCCCTCGGCGTCCTGCTGTACCAAAGTCAGCGTCACTGCCGACTGCTCCCCTATCGTCGGCTCTCCTGCCGACTGCTCGGTCGCTGACAGCTCCTTGGTCGGCTTCACCGATGACTGCTCCTTTGCAACCGGCTCCCCTGTAGCCGCCTCCTTTGCCGGCTTCGCCACTGTCGACGTCACCTCCACCACCTACTGCTCCCCTGCCTTCGTCGGCTCTGCTCCCACGCCGACCTGCTTGACGCTACCTCTGTCACCGGCGATGGCCTTGGCCTGTGCCACAGGTGACGCCCCACTGCTCCCCTCATCGCCGGAGGCCGACGTCGGCGTCGGCGCGTGCAGGTCGACGACGAGAGGTGGAGTGGCAGGGGTAGGGGGAGGGGAAAATTCTTCCTCGGCGTCCTCATCAGCAAACTCGCCGACCTCGGCGAGCAGAGGAAGGGTCGCCGCGGAGGTGTCAGTCGGCGGGTTGGCCTGCGTCCGCCCCGACGCCGGCCCGTGCTGCGACTTCCACGTGTCTAGCGACCGTGTCTCGTAGAACACGACGTCCGACGTGGTGACCACCTTGTTATCGGTGATGTCGAGGAGCTCCCAACCCTTGCTCTCCTCCGACACGCCGAGATGAAGGCCCCACATGGCCTTCAGCTTCAGCTTTCCTCCACGCTGCTGCTCGGGGATCAGGAACTACGCCATGCAGCCCCACACGGGCCAGCGTCAAGTCGGGCTTCTTCCCAATGAGCAGCTGGAACTGCGTCGTCCCCGGCAGCAGTGTCGACGTCTCAATGCAGTTGTGTACCCAGTCAGCCTCTCGCAGAGCGAGCTGCCACCAGTGGTGCTGCAGGCCCATATGCACCAGCATCGTCTGCACCGATTCCACCACCGTACGCGTCTCCCGCTCTGCCATCCCATTCTGCTGTGGGGTATACGGGCAAGTGAAGTCGTGGACGATCCCTTTGCCGTCCACAAAGGCGGTGAACTCCTTCCCGAGGAACTCCCCTCCCCGGTCAGAGCGCAGCATGAGCACCGACTTCTTCGTCTGCCGCTCAACCACCTCCAGCCACTTCTCAAACTCCCGCAGCACGTCAGACTTCTTGACGACCGACCTCACCCACACGTAGCGGGTCTTGCGGTCCTTCAGCAGCAGGAAGTACAGGCTGC